TTGCCAGGCTCTGCCAGGTGGCGGAGTTACTCAGTAGCTTGCCGGGCTCTCCGAGAGGGTCGGAGGAATCAAACTCGGGTCGGCCGTGTTGGCTGCGTGCAAGGCAAACGCCCTACCACTGTGCTATCGCTCCAGCCCTTAATAATTGTAAAGGTTAAACTCAACCCTAATATGTAAAAATATTTTTTCTTTTTTTTCCTACATAAACTTTAAATGTTCATTTTCCGCATCAAAAATACTTTTTACTCTTTGGTCTCTGTTGGAGAAGGCTTACCCAGCAGTGCTGGCGGGGAATACTGGGACTACTGGTGAGGTTCTTGGTTGCTCTCAGTGATTAAACTAAAGCACATGATTCAGCCTTCAGAACAATTCCCTGACCCGGCAGTTTTTGCTTAGGTTGTATTAATAAGTACATTGAACCTAGGATCTTATTGCAAGGCAAATGCTCTATTGTTGAGCTACCTCCCTGACCAAGGATTCATTTTTCTGAAATGAAAACTTTCATTGTTTTACATAAAGAAAAAATATGTACAGTTTAGGACATTATCAGAAAGTAAATACCATGTAATCATTGCTTAGCACTACAAATAGATCTTGGCCAGCATTCCAGAAGCTCTGCTTGTTCCCGTTCTCTCCAGAGTGAACTCTGATCTTTCCATGATTACCCTTTATTCTCTCTCTCCCTGTCCCTTTTCTTCCCTGTGTTGTGATTACCAGGGGTTCATACACTTGGTTTGAATGCTTTTTTGTTGTGGTGCTTCCACTCATGGTTGCTGCAGGGGGTCAGCTCCTGGCTACAGTGCTTGCACGACTTTTTTGTAGTTGAAATAAGTGTTCACGGTTAGTATATCTCAGTTTTGGTGCTTGCATCCTTTATACCTGGCTTTATGCTTGCAGTTTTTATACCAAGTCCTTCCCCCCCCCCCCTCTTTTCAGTTCTTCAATATTCACTATGTTTTCCAGAATTACAAGAATTTTACCATCTTGGAAAGCATTAGCATTTTGGAAAAGCATATCACTGATTTCAATGCTATCCCACAATTTAGAGTGCATGGATTTTTGAGGTGGGGGAATTATTTTTTGTTTTTGTTTTTATTTTTAATTTTTATTAGTGAGACACCATGAGGTACAGTTGTAGACTTACAAATTTTTGTGCTTGGGTTTCAATTATACAATGATCAAATACCCATCCCTCCACCAGTGCCCATTTCCCACCACCACGGATCCCAGTATTCCTCCCACCCTCCCATTCCCCATCCCACCCTGCCTCTGTGGCAGGGCATTCCCTTTTGTTCTCTCTCTCCTATTGGGTGTTGTGGTTTGCAAAAGAGGCAATGGGTGACAATCATGTTTGGTCTATACCAGATCCTTTTAACACTTAGGACAATTGAGTTTAGATTTTGAATAGTGCTGGCTGGTTTTCTTAAAATATTTGAAATGAGGGTAAAAAAAACTGCATGTATAGTGTTCATGTAGGTATCTACCTACAAGTATCAGCTTTTGAAAGATGGGTTGTAGTGGAGATTTCATGGACTGTATTATGAGTGGTATTGCTATGTTACAGAATGATTCACTGTAATGTACTGGTAAATTCATGTTTCTTTGTGTGTTTGGAGAGGGGGACTCCCAAAAAGTGATTAAGGGACCTGGGTCCAGTCTCAGAGATACTTGGTATGGGAGTCACTAGAGCCACCCACCCCAGTATTCCAGCTAGTGTCCCGACTCCAGTTATCTTCATAACCCCAGAAACTCATCTTTTAAAATATGGAAGAAAATACACATTTTTCTAGTTTTACACAATAGATCAATTTTGGAGTTTCATCGATAGGAGTTTCAGGAAGAGTTTTTAAAAAATTGTTTGCAGTAGAAGATAAAACTTCGTAAGATGGGTCCATTCTATGGGTCCATTGTAGAATTGTTCTCCTTCCCCCGCAATGGCATTCATAATGCAAAACACAGATACGTCAGGTGCTGTATTCCTTGGATTTGTGATAGAGCTGTAGTGCTTTCAGTAAATTAACTTCTCGTATATATGTATGTGTGTGTATGTAATGTTATATATTGTCTCTATTGAGTATACATATAATAGCTGTAAAGGTAAGATTTCATCGTATTTTTAACCAGCAGGCTCAGGTGTCGTGATGTGGAATGACAATTTTTTTTTAAAGGCAGAAAAGTTGCAAAACCTTTCTTTTTAGGGAATTAAAAAAGTCCCTTTGTCCTTTTTTTTAAATATAGGAATGGTGTGCAATAACCCCACCGATATAAAATTCCAGCCTCTTGTTGACGCCATCCTGGTAACAAGATGGCTATTAACCGGGTCCTGAATCGGACATCAGTTTTAATCTGTTTTATGAACGCTAAATTCTTACCTCAGTGATTACATTTTGCTCATGCCTAGAACACTTCCAACCTCAGAACTTCAAAATGTAAATGCAGTCTTTGATCAGCCAGAGAGTTGGAAATTTCCAGTAGCCTGCCGAAAGATAACTGTTTAGTCTTTTCCTAATTCCAAATGTGAATTTCTCCTGCTTGAAGAAATTCCTGCTTGAATTGAAGACAACCTGCTTGTCAAAATTACATAAACCAGGAGTTCGTGGTTAAATGGGGAAGAAGCAGCAATTTTTTTTATTGGTCAAAGATGCAGAATTGTAACAGTGATAAACATGACCACTTCCCCATTTAATCTCCCAAACTCACCCTCAATCCCATAAAAATTTTGTGTATGAAATCTTTGCTTTTGCTCTTGATGTTTCTGAGACAGTGTATAGTGTTCCTGAGATAAACGGTGTATAGCTAACCCAAGTCTGGTTACTGGCTAGACGTCTCCCAAATATCATTTCCAGGTGCAGCTCTGCAGGGCCTTTGCATACAGGCTAGATAGAGCCCTGGACTCCCAGCCCCTCTAGGGTGACTCAGATGGCTATTACAATACAGGGCCTGAGTATCTCTGCATTCTTGGGCATTGCACTGGCTGCGTGGCTCGTTTGTCTGGGAGGCTCTTGGATTTTCTGGGCACTGCTTGGGAGGTTCCCCTAAAGTGTTCCTAATTCGTTACTTTCTGTGGTTTTGATGTTAAATCTAGGACTCACGTGCACATGTGTCCTATTATCGCTAAATTATCCCTAGCACAGATAAATTTCTATCTCTGCATCTTCATTTTATAATTTATTTTGCTGTTTGGGGGCATCAGATGTGTACTTTGGGCCCTCACACATGTACTCTATTTGGTGGAGTCACCAGATATATTTATTTGAAATCCATGTTTGCTGCTAATGTTTAAATGTGTAGTTGAAACAGTACTAGACATTTTTATACTCAGTGGTAATTCCTGTACTTTGAGACAGCTAAGTGAAATCTGGGCATAGTGTTGGCACAAAGTTTAAGACGTCATCCTTGCATTTGGCCGACTTATGTACATGGCAGGCACGACATATGGTCCCTTGAGCACAATCGGGTATGGCAGCAGAATTTGTCTTGGATTCCTAGTTGTTTACTTTCAATTCTTTTTTTTTTTTTAAAAGAAAATCATTGTAACCATTTTAGTTTTCTTTAAACAATGCCATTATGGTTTAGGTCACATAAGGCTAATATCTGTGACGTGGTGGTGGTGGTGGTGATGGTGGTGGTGGTGGTGGAGGAGGGAGAGGCTGGCAGGGATGATGGGATCATGCAGTGATGGGTTTGTACCAGGGTCCATGCATGAGGGGCTGACAGGCAGGCATCTTACGGCCTTTACCATCTATCTCTAGCCCTTTTTGGGTCACACCTGGTGATGCTCAGGGTGACTCCTGGCTCTGCACTCAGGAATTACTCCGGGCGGTGCTCAGGGGGCCATATGGGATGCCAGAGATCAAACCAGTTTTTGGCTCTGTGCAAGTTCTACCTGCTGTACTATTGTTCTGGCCCCTCTAGCCCTTTTTGACCTGGATTAATCTGTGTTATGCTCTTATGGTTTGCCAAGAGCAAAAGTGGATGCGATTTTTCATCCCTTAATAAAATTGAGTTTATACTGGCTTGAATTTAATTTTTAATTTTTAAAAAATTTTTCCATTATTTTTAATTGAATCACAGTGACATACACATTTGCAAAGTTGTTCATGATTGGATTTCAGTCATACAATGTTCCAACACCTGTCTGTTCACCAGTGTACTTTTCCTACCACCAATGGTCCCAGTTTCCCTCCCCTATGGCTTGAATTTTTTTAAGGATTGTATACTGCTGAAGTCTTATTGTAGAAAGTGTATACTTCTGTAAGTCAAGTTTGGGTCATCTGTTTCTTTTCTTCCTCTCTGGAACAATATAACTGGACCTTAACAATTTTGCATTTAGAGCAGGGGTTTTAAAGCTGTCTCTGGCGAGTGAGCTGATGGTTGAAAACCACTGAGGAGATTATTTGACAAGTTTCATAATAGAAACACCTACTTTGTTAGTGAAGAAATGAATGAATATGAGGGGAGGCAAGAACATGATTTTCATTGGGTGTATTTTCTTCGGATTCGACTTTTTTACAGTTGTAAAATAAATTTGAAGATTGGTGCTGGTTTGTAGACCATAGGAAAACATGGATCTTACAGTAATGTTACTACATTGTGGGGTCTGAAGAGATAGAATAGCTGGGTTGGGTGCTTGCCTTGCCTGCAGCCAACCAGGATTCAGTCCCCAGCACCCCATGTCCTGTCTCCCTTAACATCACCAGGTGTTGCTTCAGAAACAGACATTATGGCCTAGTTTACAAATTGGAATTTTCAGTATGCTTTTGATAGAAAATAATACATGGAAATTCTTGGTGAAATAGGGTACGGAATGAAGAAGAAAATGAAATTCATAGAAATTCACACCTGGGAAAGAGCTCACTCATTTATCATACTTAGTATATAAACCTCATTATATGCTTTAAATAAAATTGGAGGTTATGTGCAGTTTTGAATTATGCTGTCTTGTGTGTCTGTGAATCTGACTTTTTCTTCTTTCTGGTTTTGGCTTTTAAACTTGACAGGCCCCTTCACAGATGTAGTCACTACAAATCTTAAATTGCGAAATCCATCGGATAGAAAAGTATGTTTCAAAGTGAAGACTACAGCACCTCGTCGGTACTGTGTGAGGCCCAACAGTGGAATTATTGAACCAGGGTCAACTGTGACCGTTTCAGGTAGCAATCATATTCTGTGTTCTGTGCATTTTTACATAATTTGAAGTGTTATTTGTGATTGTTTTGTTTTAAATCAATAGAACTTTATTTTGAAGGAAAGTAATCATTTTCTTAAGTTTTGGTTTTATTTTTAAAGATGTCCTATTATCTTACTATCTGCAAACTCAGAAGTTCTCGGTCCTTTCTATGGTGAAGTGTATGTTTTAAATTTTTAAGCAGTGGTGGGATTGTTACAGTTTTTATGTCCTTCTATAACGATATTCTGTGCCCTTCTTTTTGAAGTATTACATTATTGTGGTGATTCATGTTTTCATTCAGGTCTGTTACCACCATATTTATATGGTTTGCATTATAAAATTTTTGCTTAAAAATGTACAAGCCTCTTTTTTCCTGGTGTATAAAATTGAGCCTTTCTTGTAAATACCAACAGTATATTTGAAAACTTTTATTTCTTTGTAGTCTAAAGAATAGGTTTGCCTCCTTTAGTGTATGGACTGCCTACTCTTGCCATAGAATTCATGCTGTAGCCATAGTTAATTCCTCTGTAAACCATTCCTTTTCTTCTCAGGCTTCCCAAGACAGTACTCCATAACTGTTATCAGGTAATCTAGTGAGTAATACTAGGAAGAAAGTAAAATAATTGATCTAAAGGGAGACTCTCACACTTCCTTTAAAGAGCATTTGCGTTTACTTGTAACCCAGCAGTCATTGTCTTCTCTCAGAGTGTGCTTGCAATGTGGGAGCAGTAGTTTCTTGGTGTACCTGGAGATAAATATGTTTAAGGGGGAAAAAAACAAAACACCATCAGGCCTGGGTGATTCTGAAGTACAGCTAAAATGTCTGTTTTATAAAAATAATCTTGATCAGGCATTTGGTTTTCAGTCTCACAACAAAATAACAAATTATACAATGACTGTGAGTCTAGAATGTCCCATTGGGGGTGGAACCTGGCAGCCAAGGACAGACAGACCAGAAGTTGGAGTATACACAACACCAAATCCTCAAGAAAAAGATTGAACTGAAAACTCCTAGTTTGGTGACCCGGATAGAATGCTTTCTGTTTAAGTTGACAGTTCATGGGAAAGACATGTGAAACATGATAAACCAGTTGAGTACATGCATTCTGGATGTTGAAGTATAATTAAGTAGTGAGTCCATGCATTCTGAAAGTTGCTTTATAAATCTTTAAGCCCTGTTAAATAGGAAGATGTTAGAATTATTTGTACCCACATGGCTAAAATAGTTTTTTATGTAGTTATTGTCATATCTGTAGGGATCTGTAAAATTAATCAGAATTTTTTAAAGGATTGTAGACTGCTGAAGTCTAAAGTATACTTTAATAAGCACTCTATCCCACATTTGTATTGAGCACCAGACTTTAAAAACTCTAGATTGACTGGTTACTATTTATACATCATACCCCCAGATTCATCTACTTTAATTAGAACTTGCTTGTTCTAATTTTTAAAGTAGTGCCTCTCCATATAACCAGTCACTCAGAATTACTGTGTACGTCATCAGTTTTTTTGTGATTGACTAGCATGCCGATTATTACCCTCCTCTTTATTTTTGCCACTTAGGTTTGTGGATTTGCTTTTTTAATTTATATACACACACAGTTAATTGTTACCATGTTTTAAGGTTTTGCTTTAGTACCTAGTGATTACTAAGTGACGGGGGCTAATGGAAATCTTTAATGCTTTGTGAATCCTGACATTTATCCTCCGTATTCTTTTTTTGTTGTTGTTGTTTTTAGTGTATTAAACCATGAGAATTTTTTTCAAAGCTGTGAAGTTAATGAACATAATGTAAAACTATTTATTTAGTTGCATGTCTTTTTTAAAGTGCTTATGGTTGGGGCCAGGGTGATAGTACAGCAGGGAGAGTATTTACCTTGCATGCTGCCAAACCCAGGTTAGATTCCTGGTATCAAATATGCGCGCCCCTCCTTCCCCCGAGTAATTCCTAAGTGCAGAGCCAGGAGTACCTGCTGAACATTGCCAGGTGTGACCCAGAAAGTAAAAAAAAAAAAAAGTATTTATGCTTAAGTGTGTCTGTATATCTTAGAGATCTTAGGAATAATACTAATATTAGGGAAATTATTTCTTTTACATATATTTTGTGTAATTGCCAGTTTATTTCTTACGACTTCTTACTAGATTTATATAATTTAACATGACTTTCCACTTGTAACCTCTTAAAAACCTTTATAGGGTATTGAAAATCATAAGTGTCAGAAAAAAATTGAATATAACTATCAGGGTATTAACAGAATTTTGGAAATTGTGAGGCGATTTCTTAGTATACTTTGTTGGAATCAGTTTTAAAAAATTGACAAATGCTTCTCTTTTTGAAGAGGTTGCTTTGGGACCACACCTGGTGGCACGGAGAGACTATTCCTGCTTCTGTGCTTTGGGGTTGACGGGGTGGGGAGAGGGGGCAACGAGACCTAGGCCTTCTGCATGTAAAGCGCGCAATCAGATCCTTGAAGTCCGCTCTCCTCAGTAGTAAACTCTTCCTAAATAAATGGCTACTGAAACTCTTAGAAAATCCAGAGTTTAATGTCTAAGTTAAATGTCTATTAAAACTCTGTTGCTTAGCTTTTTCTCCTTTAAATACTTGTTAACTAATTTTAAGAGCTGTTATGACAATATTAGCTCAATATCATTTTATAATTTTATTAGTAACTAGAGCTGGAGCGATAGCACAGCATGTAGGGCATTTGCCTTGCACACAGGCAACATGGCCAACCCGAGTTCGATTCCTCCACCCCTCTCGGAGAGCCTGGCAAGCTACCCGTGACGTATTCGAAATGCCAAACACAGTAACAACAAGTGTCACAGTGGAGACGTTACTGGGCCTGCTTGAGTAAATCGACGAACAACGGGTGGACAGTGACAGTGACAGGTTTATCTAAAACTATAGAAACATTTTATATAATTAGTTTGAAAAGACAGTATAATCCAGGTTTATAGGCATTATAATAGCTAATATTTGACAAAGTTGTGAAGATTTCCTCACACTTAAGGGGACAAACCAGAGTTATATTTTATAGTCTTTATTTTCTGTGTTATTAGAAGTTAATGATAGATCAGAAAGTCAGAAAACCAGAAGGGGAAAAAAAGGGAAACCATAAAGTTGATACTGGATCCTTGATGTAAATTCTCCAATGTTTTGTTTCTTAAACCCTTCCTGGTTTTCTTTATTTTGCAAATTAGTGAATGAGGTAATAGGAATAAGAGCATATAAACACAGAAGACAATGTGATCTTTTGTTTTTTCTTATTTAGTAATGCTTCAGCCTTTTGACTATGATCCCAACGAAAAGAGTAAACACAAGTTTATGGTACAGACAATTTTTGCTCCACCAAACATTACAGATATGGAAGCTGTGGTAAGTATAGAAGTTGAACAGAGTATATTTTGGGGAATGTGATTTAAGCTGTTTAGTTCTCATTTGAGAAACCTAATTATTAAAATTAAAAAATAAGTGTCTATTACAGATCTTAAAGGATTTTGAAAAATGTTACTTTAGAAATGATTTAGATCTACTGCTATTAAGAGGAAAGTTTTATGAATTCTAAATATTCCATGTTTCTGTTAATGGCTGGTAGATTGTGGCTGTAGTGCCCCCCTGATCTGAGTGCAGTTACTGTGATTCTTCAGTTGTCCGCTGAGATAACCTGTTTCCAGGATCATGCTTCTTGTGTCTCATGTTTGGGTTTTGTTTGTTTTAGTGGAAAGAGGCAAAACCTGATGAATTAATGGATTCTAAATTGAGATGTGTTTTTGAACTGCCCAGTGAAAACGATAAATTGGTAAGTAGGAAACTTTAAGGAAATTGGAAACTTACAGCTCCCAGTTACTGTGAGATTAATTCACTTTTAATATCGGCATTTGTAGAGAGTGTGGTGTTTTCTATCACTTTCTAAAACTTCTGTTCAATTTTTAAAAGCATGCTTTAAAAATTTTTAGCGTTTTGTTCATTGAAGAAAAAAGTTTAATTCAAGTACCATGATGGAGAATTTGATTCTACCAAATTTCTGCCACTTAAATCACTTTAGCTTTCAGACTGAGACATATGTATATCAAATCAATCAAATAGCACAGAAACTGCTTTTTTAGTCACTAGTAAGAGTAGTCTAGGGATAAGATTTATTTTATAGGATTGGGACTGTGACTGGTAAAGTTCATGACACTCATGTGTGAGACCTAGGTTCAATCCCTGGCACCACAAAAAAACAAAAAAAGGGAAAAGATTTCATTTCTGCAGACAAGCAGATATTCCCAAGTATTTTGCTTAGTAGTCTCTTGATTTGGGCTAAAATGTTGCCTAATTATATTCATTAGTAACTAAGTAATTTTCATGTTGCTTTTTGATTAGCAGGAGGCAGCCATAATTTGGGAATGGACTGAGAGGCACCTCTCTTATTTTTGAGAAATTGACTCAGTGTATAGAATGGGTTCTGGTCATTTTTCCTTTCTCCTTTCTGAAATGCAAATTTAAATCTGATTTCTCAATAGGTTAATTTTTTTTTATCTCAACATAAAATAGTATGGCTAAATTAGATTACTTGTCACAATCTGTCATAAATTTCTTGATCTAGCCTTTATTAAAAAATAACCTTGCCAGGGCCAGAGTCTTGCACAGAGCTGACCTGGGTTTGGTCTCCCGCATCCCATAGGAGTGATTCCTGGATGCAGAGCCAGAACTAACCCCCGAACATTGCCGGTGTGATCCCAAAATTCCCTCCCCCCCAAAAAAAAGGAAAAAAAAGAACCTTGCCGATTAAAATATATGTGCTCAGTTGTTCACTCAGGATAAGTTAAAATGAAAATATATCTTACGCCACTTAGATGTTGACCACATTGTATATTATATATTTTAATGTCTTAAAAGGGCTGGAGCGATAGCACAGCGGGTAGGGCGTCTGCCTTGCACGCAGCCAACATGGCCGACCCGAGTTCGATTCCTCCGCCCCTCTCAGAGAGCCCGGCAAGCTACTGAGAGTATCTCGCCCGCACGGCAGAGCCTGGCAAGCTCCCCGTGACGTATTCGATATGCCAGACACAGTAACAATAAAGTCTCCAATGGAGACGTTACTGGGCCCGCTCGAGCAAATCGATGATCAACGGGAGGGCCTTTACTTTTACTTTTAATGTCTTAAAGTGTTTGGGGGCTATATTTGCCATAAACCAAAAAATGCTAGTATCTTTATTTGGAAAGCTCTATGGCATATTTATGCTTTCTATTTGGAGTCTCTTTGTCTAGGCTGTCAAAAAGCTGAGAGTCTGTGTAGCTGTTACTAGAATTAAGAAAATGTTTACAGCACATTTTCTAGGCTCACTTTCTTTTGATCTGATGATCACAATAAGTTAACATCCATTCTAAAGATGTACAACAAAAGAACATTTTTTCCTCTGGTAACTTTTAGTATCTTTTTAACGCCTTTAGATGTGCCATATTCTGTAGTTATCAAATATGCTTTTAATTCTAGTAATTAGCTATTTTATAGCTGGAAGTTTCTGCTGCCAACTCCTGCCTTTTGCAGCCAGAAATCTGATACTACTTTTTTTCTCCTTAGAAAAGTGAGATCAGGCAGTATCTTTGTCTCACTTATTTTCCTTAGCATAAAACCTTTACAGTTTGTTCATATTGAGTAATTCTATTATATCCTTTTATATATAATATATATAATATAATATCTCAGTTTTTTCTATTTAAATCATATCTTGACTATTGTAGACTACGCTTTCAATGTGGGGATAACATATCTCCTTGATAGAATGTTTTCATTTTCTTTGAATTCATTCCAGAATTCAATGTGAATAAGGAATGATTCACTCTAAAAACACATTTGAATATTTTCTTACTTTGAGTGTTAATGCTATTTTTTTCACAGCCATTTAATAAACAGACCTGATTTTCTTATGGGCTTTTGTTCTCTGGCAGAGTTTGAGATTTTATTGGAAAAGTGCTGTATGTAACCCACGTATTTGATACTTGATACTGCAGATTAAGAGTACCTCTCACTATTTTGGAAACTAAGCCTGAGGTTGACCCAAATGATATGGCTGTGACGGCCTAGTCAGACTTACCTACATATATGTCCAGCTAAAAGTAATTAAAGAAAGTGGTTCTGGATCTCAGATTCCTTAATTATGAAGAATGAGCAACACCAGTTAGGTTTTAGAAGTTTTTTTGAACCAGATATTAGGAATTCAGATCTGTTGAGTAACTTCGTTTTTATTTTTGGCTTGTAGGCCACACCTGCAGTCCTCAGGGGCTACTCCGGGTGTGGTACTCAGGGGTCGTTCTTTGTGGTTGCTCTTGGTGGTGCTCAGCAGCTCATGAGGTGCCAGGGCTTCCCTCATACAGAACATGTGCTCAGCTCAGTGAGCCATCTTCCTCGCCTCCTTTGAATCATAAAGTGCTACAGAGAAGGAATAGGAGTATGACTCCAGTAGAACCACATTTTGCTTATTGAGGCCCTAGAACTCCAGAGAATATTCTGAACCTGACTGAATCAGCCACAGAATGTGTTTTCACTAATTAAATTTCTTGGACTTGTGATATATTCTTTCTGATGATCAGGTCTTTTTTTTCTTCATTTCCTTTTTTTTTTTTTTTTTCTAACCTGGTGGTGGTGCTCAGGGACTGCTCCTTTCTGTGTTTTTGAGGGTTGTTTCTGTGGTGCTTGATGGGATCATGTAGTGCCAGCGATCAAACCCTGAGCTCCTGCATGCCAAGCATGTGCCCCAGTCCTTTGAGCATTTGTTTGTCTCCCCAAAAAGTTTAGTACTGGGTGTCAAATCCAGGGGCTTACATATGCAAGGCAAGAGCTTTATCACTGAGCTACATCCTGGATCCCCCTTTTTTTTTTTTGTTTTGTTTTGTTTTGTTTTTTTTAATTAGTGAAACACCATGAGGTACAGTTGTAGATTTACAAATTTTTGTGCTTGGATCTCGGTCATACCACGATCAAATACCCATCCCTCCACCAGTGCCCATTTTCCACCACCAGGATAATATCCCTCCCCCCCCTCCTCCCATCCCCCCATCCCCCCCTGCCACTGTGGCAGGGCATTCCCTTTTGTTTTCTCTCTCCTCCTGGGTGTTGTGATCAGCCAAAGAGGCATTGAGTGGCGAACATGTTCAGTCCAGTCTACTTTCAACCTGCATCTCCCCTCCTGGGAGGATCCTCCAAACACCCTCCACTTGGTGTTCCCCTTTCTATCTGAATTGCTGGATCCCCTTTAAAGAGTTGTGATTGCTTTAATAATTACTAATAATGTAGTTCATTTTATTTTTTCCTGACTATTTGTCTATCTTACATAGTGTTTTCAGGCAAGTCTCAAAACATAATGTAATTCACCTATGAGAATTTTAGAATAGAACATTGGTCAAGGGTAAGGACTTTTAAGAAAAGGAGAAAAACTAGAATGACTACTAATATTAAGCCTTTAAAAGCTAAAGCTTGGTGTGCGTGTGTGTGTGTGTGTGTGTGTGCGCTTTACACCAGGCAGCTGGTATTATTATTAGCCAAGTATATTAACAAATGTTATTAGGGTTTTTTTTTTTTTTGGTTTGAGACCAAAATAGATTCTCTAGGTTCTCTGTCCTGTTAATGGAAGAGATGTTTTTTAGATCTTTAATATTTTTTTCTTAGAAATCATTAAGGATATCGGGTTTGTCTTGAAATCTTTACTGAATAGATGTGTTTTACGTTTCTCTGTCTTAGAGATTTATTATAATTGTCTTTTTTTTTTTTTGCTTTTTGGGTCACACCTGGTGATGCTCAGGGGTTACTCCTGGTTCATGCACCCAGGAATTACTCCTGGCGGTGCTCGGGGGACCATATGGGATGCTGGGAATCGAACCCCCGGTTGGCCATGTTGGCTGCGTGCAAGGCAAACGCCCTACCTGCTGTGCTATCGCTCCAGCCCCTATAATTGTCTTTTAAAGACTTTGTTAAATCTAGGCTTATCTTTGTTGGGGAACAGGCAGGATTGTTGGTTTTTTTGTGTGATTTTTGGACCACATCCAGCTGTGCTTATGGTTTACTCTTGGCATGCTTGGTGGGGGCCATATATGGTGCCAGGGATCAAATCCAGGTTGGCCACAAGCACGGTAGCCACTTTCCCCACTATCCTCTTGCCCCAGCTCCAGCAAGCTGGTTTGTAGGCCATGGTTTCTTTATTCAGGGAGGCCATATGTCAACAGTTATTGGTGCGCAGTATCTACGTGAGTGTATCTCAGCTGGTGTAGGGGTGTGTGTGTGTGTGTGTGTGTGTGTGTGTGTAGTATCTACGTGAGTATATCTCAGCTGGTGTAGGGGTGTGTGTGTGTGTGATTATAACATCTTGAAATCTTTCTGGTTCTTGAGCTAACAGGGCAGAGGTCAGGCTTGTTGTTCAACTACCTATAATGCATAGATAGAACTAACCAGCTCAAGAAGTCCATAAGGTTGAAATTTAGACAATAACAGTTTTAGGTCCTCTGTTATCCTACTTTTTTACATTAGTTATAATGTGTAGGGAAAAACTTACTATCTTGCTTGTGTTTATTCAGTGTTAAAGTTTATGGACAGGACAAATGCCTGTATCTTGTTACAGATTTAAAAACTGACTTGGTCTCACATCTCTCAGATAAAGATAGCTGATCTTCCTTATTTTTCCATTTTGTTAATGAACTCACAGACCTAAACATATGTGTTTTGTGTTTTAATTCCTTCTAGTCATCTTAAGTATTTAAATTAGCCAGTAGGCCTTTTCAGGTTGGTTCCTATGTTCTTTTACCTTAGGAGACTTCAGTTAC